ACCGCTCTGCCCCAGAGACAGGGGTAGCAGCTCCCCTGCCCGCCAGCACTCCACAGCTTTCCTCTGCAACCTCGTGCCCACAGACCTGCCCTGCAGCAACAACACCCAGAGACTGTAGTGCTCATGCAGGCGCCCGGCCCATCGTGCCACGCGGGAGGCACAGATCTGCAGCCCACGCCAGCAGGTTGAGAGTTTCCTGTCGTCAGTCTGGGCTGTCTGCTGCCCCCATCCCAGAACCAAGCCCTGATCCACCCCCCCCGTCAGCCTTTGGCATCATCTCGGAGGGAAGGCAGAGAGCAGAGCAACCTCCCTGGGCAGAAGCAAGCGTCTCACAGGCCCCTTGGAGATGGGACCCAACCAGCCCCTGCCTCCTGCCCAGGAGCAGGGACTGGATAACAGGGGCTTGAGGAGGCCTGGGGGCCTGCGCCTGCCTCTGCACGGAGGCCATGGCCTGAACAAGGTTGCACCGGAGCCCAACTCCCACCCCACCGGAGGAGCTTCCTGCCGTGCCGCTCCCTGCACGCGGCTCCCCACGGCCCAGCGGGGTCTGCCTGGGATGAGGTGGCGCAGAAGCGGGAGCCGAGGTTTACAAAAAAAACAGTCAAATTTAATTGTACAAAGGCCGACAAATGCACAGATTCTACCAGGGATGCAGGACGCAGGAGGGCCGCTTTCCGCGCCGGAGGTAGGTTGGGGAGGTCCAGCACCCAGTAGCTGATGCACAACAAGACTCACACCGAGGAAGACAGCCCCTAGCCACACAATAAATTAACGTACACTATGTACAGAGGGTCCGAGCGGAAAGAAGCGGCACTCTGGGCGGAGGCGGATGGGTAACGGCACCCCAGGCGGGGGAGGCTGACAGGCCATGGGTCTGGGTACTGGCCCCCCGTCCCGCTCCTCAGCCACAGTAGAAACATCTCCATTGCCGTCCTTTTCCTCGAGGGAAGCACGAGTGTCCCACAGAGTTGTGCTTCCCTGGCTGCGCCCTGGCCTGGCCAAGCAGGGCTCAGGAGCATCGCCAGCTTGGCACCCTGCTCCGTAGGGAAGGGGTGGGGAGGGCAAGGGTCTATGGCGTCCAGAGCAAGATCAGGACACCCCCAACCTCCCTGTAGTTCAAACCGTGGGGTCCAGAGGCTTCTCCGTGCTGGAGGGGCCACTACCAGCGGAAGGGGCCTGGTGTGTGCTCTGCGCCTCGACGCTGTTCCGAATGCCATAGCCGAAATAGATGGCAAAGCCTGCAAGAGAGAACAGCGGCCCTGAACAGCAGCCCACAGGGATCGCTATGGCAGCTGCAGCCCAAGCGCCCAATGCTTGCTTCCTCCTCCCAAGCACAACCCCTGCCCGCAGGAACCTGCCCTCCATGGCGCGGGCACGTACAAGAGCAGCCCACGAGCTCCCAGCCCGGGGCTCAGGAGGGGCTGGTGAAACCGATGACCCAGCCAGGGTTGCCCAGCCTCACCCCAGGGGACCCAGATCTCTGCCCCCACCAGGCTCTCCAGCAGCAGGGCCCTGCCAGGCACCCAGGCAAAGCACAGCCCCAGCAGCTTCTCTGCGCTGGGGCACAATGTCAAGACTAGTGTCAGCTGCCCCAGGCCTCACCTATGAGCATCCAGACGCCGAAGCGGGCCCAGGTCCCGGTGCTCAGCTGCATCATGAGATACACGTTGATGAAGATGCTGAAGAGCGGGAGGAGCGGCAGGCCAGGCACCTGGGGAGGAGATGCCAGGTCAGTGGGGTTGGGGGCTGGGCACCTGCCCTCATCGTGCTACAAGGCAGAGGGATCCCCAGCACAGTCAACCAGGAGGCCAGCTCCAGGAGAGGCCCCGGGACCCAGCCACCAACAGAGCATGGCACAGCCCAGCTGTTCTTGCTGCAGCAGCTGCAGCTGCCAGGCAGACCCTGGCTGCGCTTACTTTGAAGGTGAGCCGGGCGTTGCTCTCTGGCTGCCTCCAGATGATGATGGTAGGGACCAGGATGATGGCGACGAGGACGATGCAGACCGCGATCCAGATCGCATTGCCGCTCAGCAGCAAGTCCATGGTCTGGGCCAGAACCACGCAGAGGATGGTGATCAGCACAGCTGCAAGAGACATGGCAGGAGATGTTGAGCTGTCGGTCACTGCCTGCTCCTGCACCAGCCTGCAGCCCTGGACAGAGCCACAGCAGTGGGCAGGCCCATGATCTTCCCTGCTGGAGCTCACGGGGCCACGTGCCCCTGTGCAGCCCCTGATAGCAGCCGGACCCCCTCAGAACGGGCCAGCTGGAGAGCCCAGGGAGTCGTGGCCACCTGCATGCTTGCTCCCTTCTCACACCGAGACAGAGCCCCTTCCTCCCAAAGCCAGGCCGGGCCCCCTCCCATTTCCCATTCCCCCTCCTGGGTGCCGCTGGATGCAGCTCCCGGCATCCTCACCGACAACCGACGTGCTGATGTAGACGATCCGCCCGGACAAGTTGGTGGGGGTCTTGCAGTGGGGGCTGATGAGGCTGCGCAGGCTGCACTCCCCTTTCAGCTCAGCAGTGATCATGTCTGGGTCCATCATCGCCTTCTCCTCCTCCTGCCTGTGCAGCTCCACCATCTCCATGCCCTTCGAGACGCTCAGCTGGTTCTCCTGGTACCTGGACAGGACGCACACCAGTGGGTGGCTGTCTTGGGGCAGACCCCGCAACACAGACTCGGTTCCCCAGTGTCCCCCCTTGTGCCCACACCCACCTGGGACTGCCCAGCCAAGAGCCCCACAGTCCGTGCTGCAGCCCACCCCAGCACAGGGCAGTCCCCAGCCTGTTGCTCTTGGGCTGCCTGCCCCAGCACCACTCTCACGGGTGCAGGGGGAATTCATGCGAGGGGGATGTTACTAGTCCGAATCTATCCAGCCTTACCCACGATACCAGCACACAGCCCCCAGCCCTTCTCTCTGAGTGACAGCTGGGGGCACCCAAACCTCAGCTGCAACCTCCCTGGGGATGGTAAGCCCACTCCTACCCTGTGGCGGAGCCAGCCCCAGCTGTTATAATCCACCCCAGCATCGTCCTCTGTCTGACGGGAGTCCCTACACCCGGCCCTGCCCCCCAGGACCATTCATTTCCAGGCACATGGCTGCCACATGCCCAGGCTGCGAGGCTGGGGTGCAGGACCGCGCACCCCACGCAGAAGGGGAGCACTGCAGGCAGGCACCTACCTGAGGATGAGCACGCACACAGCAACCAGGGAGTAGGCCAGCAGCGTGCCGATTGACATGAGGTCTACCAGGTCCTTCAGCTCAAACAGAAAGGCCATCAGGGCTGCACACACACGAGCATGAGGGTGAGACCGGTTGTGGGCTCACATCAAAGAGGGGCGAGGTGCAGGCAGGGACTGGGAGGAGACAGAGCCTCTTACCAGCAACGATCCCTGACACGACAGTGGCCATCAGGGGTGTCTTTGTCCGTGTGTGCACCTTGGAGAGGAACCGGAACAGCAGCCCGTCCTCGGCCATGGCATAGATCACCCGTGGCATGGGGAACATGGAGCCCAGCAGGCTGCAGGGAGAAGAGGGGGTTGCCCCCGTCAGCAGTCACCACCCCTGCCCATCACTGCACCAACCCATCGCTGACCTGCCTGCAGCCTCCGAGGCTGCAACGTGAAAGATTGGCCGATCCTCTACCCCCAGGGGCATCAACACCACAAAGTCCATGGGGAAGCACCCTGGACCCGCCACTAGCACTCAATTGCCCCCGATGTCCTTATCCTCCAAGAACGTGTCCAACCCCTTGGTGAATCTGGCTGAACTCTCAGCTCCCACCGTACCTGGTGGCCACGAGTCCACCCTTTAATGCCATGCTGGGTGAAAAAGCTTCCTTGCTAGAGAGGAGGCTGCTGTTGCCCCATTGAAAGGTGTCTCTCCCCTCCGGGGAGCTCTGGGAGCCAGGGCAGGGCCAGGCCAGGCCTGCATGTGCCAGCTGACCCTCTGTGGAGTCAGATCTGGCTCCTGCCCAGAATGCACATGTTAACAAGGTGCCGGCAGGAACACTAGGAGCTCTGGCCGTGGGTCCATCTCGAACGAGGGACCAGCCAGGGATGGGCGGAGGGGGCAGCTCCTCCCGGAGCACAGGGCTGACAAGCACACCCAGCGCCCCATAGCACTGGCACGGGCCTGGGGCCCAGCACCGTGTCACATGAAGGCGTGACCTTGGGGGCTAGTGCTCCAGCGGGGAGGCATGCACGCTGCATGTGCCTCACCCCACGGGGCTGGCTGCCTGCTCTCCCCCGCCGGGGCCACAGCGCGGGTCGTGTGGGCTGCAGGTACTGGTTTTAGGGCCATGGTTGGTCTAACCGAGTTGGGTGCAACTGCTGTTGGACCATGAGAGAAAGCTTCTCCCTAGCCAGCCAGCCCTCCCGTGGATCCCCACTGGCGTGGCACAACCAGCCCCATGCACCCCCCAGGGCTCCAGATGGCCAAGCCTCAGGCCTCACCTGGTGGAGAGTGCACAGAGGGACCCGACGGCGACAACGTAGCGGGCTGGCTCCCAGCCCACGGCTTTGAAGGCCTCCGGCAGGGGACTCTCCTTGTTGAGGAGGTAGTAGGGCACCATGAGGGTCAGAGCAGCGGAGACCCCAAAGTAGGCCACAAAGCAGATCAGCAGGGACACGATGATCCCGATGGGGATGGACCGCTGCGGGTTCTTGGCCTCCTCGCCTGCAGAGGAGAGCGGGGGAAGCGTCAGCCCAGCCTGGCCCTGCCCTCGCACCCCCAGGGCCAGGCGGCAGGGCCCAAAACCAGGGCCGGGAGCTCCAGGTGAGCAGGTTTCTCCGGAGCTTGGCAGTGGCATTGTCATTTAGACGCCGTCTGGGTGGGGAAAGCAGAGTCCAGCTCCAGGATTCAATGGCCACGACACCAAGCAGGCAGCGGCCACTCCTGGGAGGAGGATGTCACCCCCCGAGGAGCGCCCCATGTTTGGTGCTTCGTGGACTGTGGGCAGTTTAGGGAAGACCCCTCCCCCCGGCTCCCCGCAGAGCCTCCGCAATGCTGCTTTACCTGTCGTGGCGATGCAGTCGAAGCCCACAAAGGCGTAGAAGCACGTGGCGGCTCCAGAGAGGATCCCTTGGAACCCAAAGGGCACGAACCCCCCCGAGCCCAGGGGGCCAATG